TTTTCCGCTCTCTTTTACTGTTCCCATACAAATTATATATTGGTTTTTTCAGGACAAAAGGGGCTTTCTTTACATACCATTATTTATATAATCTCATGTATTTTAATTAAAAAAAAATAAAAAATCTGATGAAAAATTGAAAAAAATACATGTTTTTTGACTTTTACTTGAAAAATCTTTTACTCATCTACAAAAGCGAATGAAAAAAACTGCTAAATAGATTTAAAATTTTGTCCTGAGTTTAAAAATACCCAGTGTTTATGGGCTTTTTTGCTTTTTTTTTTTGCATGTTATAGGTACAAGTAGGATATTGCAGTTTCAAAACATACATTTTTAAAATTTATCAATAGTGACATTGTAACACTATTATCTGTCATAAATCTCTGAATAACACCCCACATGTACATATTTTTTTTAAAGTAGACAACCCAGGGTATTCAATATGGGGTATGTCCAGTCTTTTTTAGTAGCCACTTAGTCGAAAACACTGGCCAAAGTAAGCATTCATATTTGTTTGTGTGTGAAAAAAGTAAAAAAACTAAATTGAACGCTAATTTTGGCCAGTGTTTGTGACCAAGTGGTTACTAAAAAAGACTGGACATACCCCATTTGCAATACCTTGGGTTGTCTTCTTTTGCAAATGGTATGCCATCATGGGGGTAATTCTCATTCCTGGGCTACCATACGCTCTCAAAGGCAACGTAACCAACCTGGCCATTTTCAATGTAAAAATATTTGACCCATATATTTGACCCTGTAACTTTCAAAAATGCTATAAAACCTGTACATGGGGGGTACTGTTTTACTCGGGAGACATCGCTGAACACAAATATTAGTGTTTAAAACTGGAAAACGTATCACAACAATTATATCATCAGTAAAAGTGCTGTTTGTGTGTGAAAAATGCAAAAAAAGTCACTTTCACTGACAATATCATCGCTGTGATATGTTTTACTGTTTTGAATCACTAATATTTGTGTTCAGCGAAGTCTCCCGAGTAAACAAGTACCCCCCATGTACAGGTTTTATCGTCAGAACGTTACAGGGTAAAATACAGTGCTAGCAAATTAAATTCTCTGGAATTTCGGCCTGGGTTGGCAGGCAGGTCCCTCAAATTGCAATCAATAAAATTACTTAATTATGTAAAAATATTACATAAATACGCACTTAGAATTTAAATATATATGCATATTTATATAATTATTTATGTAATTTTGTATATGGACATCTGTATATTTCGTATTATTTTTATTTATATATACATAGATATATATACAAATTCATTCTAAGTGTATTTTGATATAAATATATATTAATTTTAAAATACAGTTAGAATAAAATTTCATATAGATATATATTTTTTTTCCCAATTTTTATTATTTAAAAAAATTAAAAAATTAAAAAAATATATATATATATATATATATATATATATATATATATACAATATATATAGTTATTATATATGTGTGTAATTTAATTATAAGTGTATGTTTATATTAATATAAGTACATATTAATATAAATATACACTTAGTATGATATATAGACATATATTATTTATATATAATATATATCTATATATCATATTTATATACACATATATAATTTTTTTTATTTTTAATTACTATTAACTTTATTTTTATTTTTTTGATTTTACACATGCAGGGAGACTGCCTGTCAGCACAGACAGTCCCCATGCAGGCAGACACATGGACACCTATTGTGACCATGTGATCGCTGTGTTAAGCGATCACATGGCCACAGGGGTCCTAATCCAGTGTGGGGAGACTGTCTGGGCTGCAGACAGTCTCCCCACAACGGGAGCAACGCTGATCACCGCCAGGGGAACGACGGCGATCAGGTAAGTAACTAGGACCGTTAGGACGGTTCAGGACCGTCATCGGTCGGCAATGGGAAAATGCCGATGACGGTCCTGAACCGTCCTCGGTCCTTAAGGGGTTAAACTTGCTGCCCTGGGGCTGTATGGAGGCAGTCGGTCGCCTGGAGAGCATAGAGGCAGCCACCCTGGGGATTGTGCAGATGGCCGCCCTGGTTATCTTGGAGGCAGCAGGCTGGGCCAGCGCCCAAGGGAGCAGGGATCTTCCTACAGCACCTCTTTGCTCCCCCGCACTGTGTAATTATGCTGGGTGCCCCGGCATCACTGCAGACCGTCTGAGGGAGCAGAGAGTAGCTGCTCCCTTGCACCCAGGAATAGAAGCCCCACTGGACCCCAGGGAAAGTGCACTCGGCTCTCCCAAAGGTCGGGAGGCTGGGTGGATTAGAATTAAAAATATAAATGTGTGAGTGTTAGAGAAAGTGTGTGTTTGTATATGTCTGTATGTGTGTGTCTCTGTTTAGGTACCTGCCCCCTCCGATCACATGATTGGTGTTTATACTCCCCTTTTTTCCCAAGTCGTGCTGGTTTCGCTGTTGCTTGTCCCGTCTCCATAGCTGAGATCTTAATGATCTCAGCGAAGCCAATGCTTTCCCATAGGAGGATATTACGTATGTTCTATGGGTAACATCCAGCGCCTCCATGCAGAGTACTGACACAGGACTCTCTAGTGGCCACTTGAGTGACTGTCACTAGAGGTCTTAGTAGGCAGAAATGTAAACGCTGCCTCTTTTCTGAAAAAGCAGCGTTTAGATTGAACAGGCTACAGGGATAGGCTATAGCTACCCGAACAATTACATTAATCTGTGCCCCTTAAAAAAAAATTACTTCTTACTTTTTTAGTTGGCTCCTAGATTCCAAACAAATTTGTCAAGCCCTCTACTACACTATGATCTGTTATAGGCCATGTTGTACCAATATTGGTGGTAATACTTTATGTACTCTTGTGTGTGCTTTCATGTATATTTGGTTTAAGTTTTTTTTCACTGGGCTATTTTGTTGATTTTATTATGTATGCAATAATCAGATCAGAGAGCATTGACTTTGGATATACTCAAACACCTTCAGCAGTGTACTTTTTCAAATCCTGCTCAGTTTAACTCTTGTGAATTAATCAGTGTCTTGGTTATTCTGACATTCATATGCAAATATTTTGCAATATTTCCTTGTTAAGTGTTAATGGTTTACTTTTTAAATGCTTGTGACAATACACTGTTAACTAGCATATTTCTTGTGTCTGTTTTAAAGTGACAGTAAAACAAACATTAAAAATAAAATTAACGTGTGTTTAAAGATTTGGGGAGCAAATTATATTTACACATGATGATGATGATAATAAGCTCGTGTCATGGTGCCGCAGTCACGCTGACCGAAATAATACATACTTTCCTTGCTCGCAGCAGACCACTACCTGACCTCCTTCCGTCCCGGTCCCCAGCGTGTGCGGCGTTTTGTGGAGACAGCGGCCGCTGTGGTTCCGATTTTAATGGGGAAATAGCTTTTGCCCACATTAAAGATGGCGCTTAAGTGGGTGCGACGTCACGTCATAGACAGTGCCCTGTCGTGGTTTCCCTCTGCTGGTTATCAGAGAGTGTGTTCCTTAGCTTATTATTCTGGTTTTTGACTTTGGTTTCGTTTAGACTTCCCTGATTTCTTGTATCCTTGACTTTTGGCTTTCCCTCATCATTGTGTTTCCTTCTCAATCCCTGACCTTGGCAAGTATTCTGACTATTCTTGGATACGTTAAGTCCGGCCATTCTAAGGTCTGGTTAAACGTTATACTTAGTCCTAGGTGTGATATAATTCTGTGTGCTGGATCAACTAGTAATCCTGACAGCTAGTTAGTAAATTAATGGTAATGCCAAAAATGACTTCAAATTTATGTTTTCATTGATGCATTCTTCATGGTCTGTGGTCATAATTTTCAAACTATAATGAGGTTTCCAAAAACAATTTTCGCAGTGCACTGTAGAAGGTAGCGACAGCTCTTGGACACGTCTTTCCCCTGTTATAGCTGAGTGTTCTTTAAACCGATCATTGTTAAACTCTGCCATGATTAGGATGTGGTACTAAAGACCTTATTCCAGCATGAAATGTACTGCTCTGTCAGCATTTTACAGGCCTCTGCTCGTGACATTGTGACATTATATTAATATCAAATTACACGTAGACTGATAATTAAATATATATAATTATTGTTATATATATATAATATAAAAAATAAATATGTAAATACGTAAAAAAATAAAAATTAAAAATAATAAAACAATATATAGATGTGTGTTATTTCGTTCTAACTGTATTGTAATATTAATATATATTTATATCAAAATACACGTAGAACGAAATATATATATCTATATACATAAATATATATGTATATATCACTATATATATAACTATATATAACTATATATAAATAAAAATATTTAAAAAAAATTATATATATATATACATATATATTCACATACGTGTGTGTGTGTGTGTGTATATATATATATATATATATTAATTCTACATATATATTTATGTAATATTTTTAGATAATTGGGTATCTTAATTAATTACAATTAGAGGGACCTGCCTGACAACCCATGCCGAAAGTAAAGGGAATTTAATTTGCTAGCACTATATTTAACCCTATAACTTTCCAAGACACCATAAAACCTGTACATGGGGGGTACTGTTCTACTCGGGGGGACTTGCTGAACACAAATATTAGTGTTTCAAAATAGTAAAATGTATTACAACGATGATATCGCCAGTAAAAGGGATGTTTTTTGCATTTTTCATGCACAAACAGCACTTACACGGACGATATTATTACTGCGATACTTTTTACTGTTTTGAAACACAAATATTTGTGTTCAGCGAAGTCTCCCGAGTACAACAGTACCCCTCATGTACTGGTTTTATGGTGTTTTCAAAAGTTACAGCGTCAAATATAAGGCTTGTGTTTCATTTTTTTCCCATTAAAATTTGTTAGATTGGGTACATTGCCTTTGAGACCCTATGGTAGCCCAAGAATGAAAATATGATGGCATACCATTTGCAATAGTAGACAACCCAAGGTACTGCAAACGGGGTATGTCTAGTCTTTTTTAGTAGCCACTTAGTCACAAACACTGGCCAAAATTGGCGTTTTTGTCATTTTTCACATACAAACAAATACTAACGCTAACTTTGGCCAGTGTTTGTGACCAAATGGCTACTAAAAAAGACTGGGCATACCCCATTTGCAATACCTTGGGTTGTCTACTATTGCAAATGGTATGCCATTATGGGTGTAAATTTCATTCCTGGGCTACTATAAAGTCCCAAAGGCAACGTAACCAATCTGGCGAATTTCAATTTCAAATGTAACGTGCTATATTTGACCCTGTAACTTCCCAAAACGCCATAAAACCTGTACATAGGGGGTACTGTTTTACACGTGAGACTTTGCTGAATACAAATATGTGTATTTTATTGCAGTAAAAGCAAACAGTATTATGACATTGACCGTTAAAATGTCATGTAGAACTAAAAAAAAATCTTATTTTCTCCCATTTTTTTTCATATTAAATTATGTTTCATAGCTAAATATTTGATATTAAATGAAAGCCCTGTTTCCCCTGAATAAAATGAAGTGTAATAAGGGTGAGTGTATTTAATATGAAAGAGGTGTATTACGGTTGGACAGACATGTAGCGCAAATGCCAGGTTTTGTTTACATTTTGTTTCGTTCACAATGTGTACATTTGGCTCCGTCCTTAAGGGGTTAAATAAATATTGTTAAAAACATACACACTCCATCTATCTCTTTTTCTATCTATTTTTTCTATGTATCTATTTCTCTCACACTCAGTCACCCACACTCAGCCACTCGCCCACCCTCACAATCACTAACCCACACTCAGCCGCCCACCAACCCACACTCAGTCGCCATCCGCCCACACTCAGACTCACTGTCTCTCTCACACACTCACTCTCTCACACACTCACTCTCTCACACACTGTCTCTCTCTCACACTCTAAAAAGTTTAAAATAAGTGTACTTACAGTTTGATGTCAGGAGATCTCTGCATCCTCCTGCCTTCTGCCTGTCAGCTCGAGCTGCTGACAGCCTCAGGGGAGACAGGATGCTCGTGCACAGTCCCCTGTGCTCTGCTGACAGCAGATCTGAGTGGGTGGATGCGAATTACGCATCTATCAACTTGGAAGCAGGGCCGGACTGGGGATTCCAAAGCAGCCCTGGAAAAAAAATCTATGCCAGCCCCATAAGTCATTGCGCCATATATTGTCGCATGTAATATGTAAGGCTATGTCTTGCCACCCTAGATGATTGAGAGATATATATATATATATATATATCTCTCAATCTCTTTTTCCAATATAAAATATTGGTCCTTTCAGAGTAAAATCTTTAATTATACAGTAAGCATACTCACATGCAGACACAGACAATCTCACTGACACAAGCTGATTGATACACAGACTCATAGACAAATGAAATGGAAAAATCAATCAATACATTGATTATTTCTTTGTGTATCTGCCCCTGGCCAAATCAGTGAAACAGTGCGTGCACGCTCCCTGAAGTAATTCACACCAGACACAGGTTCCAGGTTGTTGAATAACTTGAGGAAAGTTTATTCAGAGGGGACGGCAGGTCCCTTTTTAAAGCAAAATTACATCATATGCATTGTCAGAGATAACATGGAATAATACATCAATAATTGGTTAAGTGTTTTATTCAAAGCACGTCCTACAGGGTGTGCCTTCTTATGTCATTACTGTCGTCGTGAAGTTCTCCCCCCAGATTCCAGCGCCATCTTGAAAATTAGAGTGTTTGGTCGATGGGTGGGGTACTCCTGAGTGACATCTAGTGGTCAGTTTAGTAATTTATTGAATAATATTGAGTATAACTAAATGGAGTAAATAGACATTTTACTAGCTAAAATTATGTCAATATTTCATTTCCACAACAGTCCCCCCTTAAAATGACTATTTACCATAACAACTGCTACTGTCCCTAATATGTCCCTAGCTGCCTGCAGCTCATCTGTCTTAACAAGCATCGAACACTTCACTCCGTGGGTAACCCGCAGCGGCTAGTCCACCACATATCCGCACGTGAGACTCGCCTGTAGAGACAGACGCTTTCCCTATGCTATCCCTATGAAAATGCAGTTGTCTGTCTGACTTGGTGGGATTGGAGGGGTGTATGTGGTGTGTCACATTCTAGGTCAGTGACGTCTTAGTGTAGTAAAGTAGGGGTTACGTTGTCTATAGTCTTCCCTACTGTCTTCTGTAAATACTTTTGTATGCAAGGTAGTACACAACAAGTTAGGATTAGAAAAATGATAAACACTATAAGGACTGCTGTCCCAACCTGGAATAGGGTTCTCTGCCAACCATTCATCCATGCAAACCACCTGTCCCACACGTTAGTGACCCCTGAGTTGCGTTTTAGTTCATCTGAAAGGCTGTCCAGTTTTTCTATGGCCAAAGTTACTTTTCCATTGGGTCCAGTATTATCTGGAATAAACGTGCAGCAGATCATAGTCTCGGGGAAGATTTTACATACGCCCCCCTTTTCTGCTAGAATCATATTCAGAGCCATTCTATTTTGAAATGTCATTTGGGTGGTAGCTTGCAGTTGTTCTGCTAGGCCCTGTAGGGCATCTCTAGTATAGTTAACAAACCGCTGTTGGTTGTAATAGATATAATTAATCCAATTAACATTCTTATTGACAGTGATTAATGGAATCAGGGATTCAAAGCCAGCGGCAACCTCATCCCTAGCTTTAAATTCGTTGGGTACCCCCCTTGGCACACCAATGGCATCAATATAAACATGTGGATCAAAGCTACCACGGATTGGGGCTTCCCTTTTGACTCTGGAGTGTGTGTGAGATCAAATGTATTATGATGGCCATCCGGGATAATATGGATAGGCATGATGGCCTTGGTCAGCATGCACTCCCCCCACCACAACCCTGTTAGCTGGGATCTCAGTTGCTTATCACCACACAGCCAATAAATATTCCCATCTGGTTTTGCATGATTCGTTAACAATGCTGTGGGGGGACTATGGTAGGTGGAACAATAACCAGATGGGAATTTACCCACAAATGTACCCGTGTTTTTAGGTATTGTGTAGCAAGTGTAATTACCTGGGTATACCGTGACTCCATCAGGTGGTCTAACGTGTCCCTGGGTAATCGGGTAGACCTTCTTCCATGATTCACACATTGAAGAGTTAGTGGTGGATTGTGCATAAAGGCTTAACCATGTCATGTAAAGTCTTGATGTGAGGTTTTAGTGGCTTAATAGTCATATGTGTAGTTCCTACCCAGTCAGATGAGTTAAGCATGTCTTGCAGGTAGAATGTCCCCAACTTGTTATATGAGTCACCACCCTTCCAGTACCTGCCCATTACATACTCTTCTGCATCTCCTGGACTGGGGCGTTCTATGTTTAGGGTAAGTTTGATTGGGGTTGACTTAAGGTCATTCTAGAGAGTAGTGATTTCCCATCTTTGTCAATTCTGTCTAAGGCATTCTGAGGTCTATATCCCCATGATTTACCTGTGTTCCACCCGGCTGCTTTCCAAGAACTACAGGAATGTCCCCATGCACCCCCTGCCACACAGATGTATCGGTCTTTTTCGTCAGGTATGTCTTTGTATTTATATGTATAGCAGCGTGTTGTGTTTGTGGAAAAGTGCAAACAACAATATCACAAAAATCAAAGGTAAAAGTAGCTACATCTGTGTTAGAGGAATTGTACCAGAAAGTGTAAACATGGTTATCTTTGGTTATGGCCACCTGCTGGGCCCCTGTAAAGTTTAGTAGCAAAGGAAAACATAAGAAACACAATGAATCCATGGCTCAGTAGGGACAGCTTCTTCTGGAGCAGGCACTTTCTTGCAATGCGAGGCGTGTATCCATTAACTTTTTCCGGCCAGCTTTACTGAGGTAGCTGTGATTAGCAGCACTTGGTAAGGACCATCAAATCTTGGCTCAAGAGTGTGCTTCCTGAGGAATTTCTTGACCATAACCCAGTCACCTGGAAGCAACTTGTGTGTACCTGTATTTGACTCAGGATCTGGAATAGAAGAAAACACTTGGGCATGGAGTTTGGTCAAGGCATGAGAGAGGACAGTTACATAATCTACCATAGCATCTGACTGAATCTGAAGCTGTTGGAGGAAATAACAACCTAACCTTGGTGCTGTACCGAACAAGATCTCGTAAGGTGATAGGCTATATTTTCCCCTAGGAGTGTACCTTACGCTAAACAGCGCTAACGGAAGACTCTCGGGCCAGGGCATGTTAGTTTCCTGTGACATTTTAAGCATTCTGGCTTTCAAAGTGCCATTCATGCGCTCTACCTTACCACTACTCTGTGGGTGATATGGTGTGTGGAATGCAAGGGTCACCCCCAGTGCTGACCAGACTTCCCGTGTCAATGAGGCAGTGAAGGAGATCCCTTGGTCACTTTCAATCACTTCTGGAACTTCATATCGGCAAACAATTTCCGTCAAAAGGTACTTGGCCGTAGTCCTCGCGGTGAGATTAGTCACTGGGAAGGCCTCTGGCCATCCTGAAAACATGTCCACTATGACCAGTGCATATTCATAACGTCCACTCTTTGGCATTTGAATATGGTCAATCTGGATCCTCTGAAAGGGGTATTGTGGCTTGGCTAGGTGGTTAGGTGCAGTCTTTATAATCTTTCCAGGATTGCTTTTAGCACATTTTGTACAAGATTTACAGTAATTCTGTGTTAAGGTAGTGATGCCTGGTGCTTCTAAATACTTGTCAATCAATGAGTTCATCAGATGTTTTGACAGGTGGGCTGGCCCATGGGCCCATTGGACCACCGCTGGATACATATTTCTGGGTAGGCAAAACTTGAGATTGATAGTGTAAACATCATCACGGAGTACAGCTCCTTTGTTCTTCCAACTTTGTTTCTCCTGGGGAGTAGCAGCAGCTTGTTGTTCCTTTAGAAGCCTAAGATCCGTAGGCAGTGTCTGCATGGTGTAGATGGGCACTGCGTCTGTGGCCACTCTTCTGTCCACTTCCCATCCTTGTCGTGCTGCTTCCTTAGCAGCCTGATCAGCTAAGTGGTTGCCCCGTGCTTCTTCTGAGTCTAGCCTTCCGTGGGCTTTTACTTTTAGTACTGCTACCAAATTAGACCAAAGTCATGTGCTACTCTCAGG